GACCTAACATTTTTGAGGAATTGTTTCAGTTTGTGTTGTGTTGGTGAAAGATTTTTACTGTTTGTGGTTAAGTGAGGGAGAGAGAGAGAGAGAGAGAACTGGAGGTAACTTTAAACTTAACCCCTTGAATACAACCACTTAACCCCTTGAATACAACCACTTAACCCCTTGAATACAACCACTTAACCCCTTGAATACAACCACTTAACCCCTTGAATACAACCACTTAACCCCTTGAATACAACCACCCAGAATAACCTCTTGAATACAACCACTTAACCCTTGAATACAAAAAGCTCTACCCTTTCCTCTGCTCTCTATATAAATTACAATACACATAACGTATTAATTAACCCATACTAATTAAATACCTAACCTAACCTAACCCCAATGTTATTATACACGCTTTAATATACTGTAATTATCAAGGAGAGGAAAATTCAATGCTTTTTTTGCGGTCTAAATTGGTTTTGTGGGCGTAAATTAATGGTGATTTTTATGTTTGAACTTCTACCAATGGTTGAAGGCAATTAACCTCATTCTGTGATTAATTAGGATGTTTGTATTATCTAATGTATTCGTGTTAATGAGACTGGCTGTGATAGATAGAATGATAGATAGATAGACAGGCGGAATGATATTGGGAGACACAGAGAGACAGACAGACAGACAGAGACATTCTGAGTACTGTCACCCAAATAAAGAAATAAACATCAACACTAGTGAAGCTGTGAGAGAATTTATTTGCTCGACCAACAGCAAGTCAATAATGGTATATTTATTGACTAGCCGGCAACTGAACAGACACAGGTGGAGAATACAGGTACAGGTACAGGTAACAAAAGCTTAATTAGTTCACAGGTACAGGTAACACATCACATATCCTTCGCTGGCTACAGGTAGAGTCTAAAATAAATTCCTAAGTATCTCAACGTCTGGTTGGTGACCCTGGAGGCAAAGGGGATATACTCTATTCACAAGCAAGAGGACGTGGGTTCGATTTTCAGACAGATTTTTGGTCAGGTGTTTATCTGGGCAGTGATTAGCGAGTTCATTACCAGGTACAATGATGATAATAATAATAATAACAGCACTAACTATTGCAACAAATAATAATAACAACAATAATAACAGCACTAACTATTGCAACAAATAATAACAACAATGATAATAGCAATAACATAATAATAATGACAACAATAACGATTAATAACAATAACGATAAAACACCTGTAATTCAATCTATTTAATTTTCCCAGGTAGATATTTACAAACTTTTGAAAGCTATTAAGAAACTTTTTTCGTCTTTCATTTAATAAAAAAACTTTATTAACAAAACTTGATATCTTTCTGACCTGACCAACCACAAACAGGTCTTCTTCTTCTTCTCTAACTGACTAACAAACAACATATTATAGGTAAAGTTATAACAACAACAACATAAACATCAGAATTACCTGAGTACAGAATCTAATTAACACACCCACAGGTAATTACAAAGTTAATTAAGGTGTGTCATGGTTTAATAAGATAAATGTATCCTAAACTGCACCTTAATTTGTTTTTGGTTAAATATAAACATTACTACAAGAGGCCATTAAAATTATGGTAATTGTTTTCATTGTGTGAAGTGTTACGTCTTGTGAATTTTAATTAAAGAAAAGTAAAATAGAATAGTTGGAAAAATTTGAGGGTTTTTTGTGGCCATTAAAGGGAGGTGTGGTGTGTGGCTTTTCCTACTGGTGCTGTGGTGGTGTGTGGCTCTACCTAATGCTGCTTTTGTGATGGCTCTTTAACTCCTGCTCCCGCACTAGATGTAGTCCTCCACACGTGCAACATCTGTGATCGACCCTGCCGGTTCCGTATCGGCCTCTTTAGTCACCTCAGAACTCACCAACAAAAGTGACATCCTTAATAACTCATATCATTGTAGCGTATGTGTGTGTGTGTGTGTGTGTGTGTGTGTGTGTGTGTGTGTGTGTGTGTGTAAGAAAGCTGTATATAAGTAACTCAAGCTTGGGTCTGGGAGGTTGTAGCAATGGGCTTAAGTTTATGTGTGGGGGAGCGATGTCACGAAGTCTTCCAGCCAGGCTTTGAGAATCCTCGCTGTGGAACTTTATTCCTGAGTTACGAGAGAGAGAAAGAGTCAGAGTGAGAGAGAGATTCAGAGAGAGAAAAAGAAAGAGAGAGAGATATGGAGAGAGAGAGAGAGAGAGAGATTCAGAGAGAGAAAGAAAAGAGAGAGAGATATGGAGAGTGTCAGAGAAAGAAAGAAAGAGAGAGAGAGAGAGAGAGAGAGAGGTGTTTTAAAAATTGACCATAATTATCTGAGGTCGTCGGTGGTCTTCCTGCCCCCACGACCCCCCATAACTACCCACGACCTTCCATAACTACAGACCCCTTAACTACCCACAACCTTCCAGACTACCCCGACCTCCCATGACTACCCCGACCCTTAACTACCCGACCTCCATGACTACCCATGACCCCCATACTACCCACGACCTCCATAACTACCACACCCTTAACTACCGACCTCCCATGATACCCGACCTCCCATAACTACCACGACCTCCCATGACTACCACGACCTTCCATGACTACCCACGATCTTCCATGACTACCACGACCCCTCATAACTACCACGACCTCCCATGACTACCCATGACCTCCCATGACTACCCACGACCTCCCATGACTACCCACGACCTTCCATGACTACCCACGACCTCCCATGACTACCCACGACCTTCCATGACTACCCATGACCCCATAACTACCCGACCTTCCAACTACCCGACCCTTAACTACCCGACCTCCCAGTACCCGACCTCCTAACTACCCGACCTCCAGACTACCCGACCTTCCACTACCCGATCTTCCAGACTACCCGACCTACACCCACGACCTCCATGACCCCGCTCCGCTCCACTACCCACGACCTCCCATGACTCCACGACCTCCCATGACTACCCACGACCTCCCATGACTACCCCGACCTCCCATGACTACCCCGACCTCCCATGACCACCCCGACCTCCCATGACTACCCGACCTCCCATGACTACCCGACCCCCATAACTACCCACGACCCCACATAACTACCCACGACCCCACATAACTACCCACGACCTCCCATGACTACCCACGACCTCCCATGACTACCCACGACCTCCCATGACTACCCACGACCTCCCATGACTACCCACGACCCTTAACTACCCACACTACCCATGACTACCCCGACCCTAACTACCGACTACCCGACTACCCGACCCTTAACTACCGACCACCCGGATTTTATTATTACCTTAAGTGACCATCCTCCTTGTTAGGTTAGGTTAGGTTAGGTTAGGTTAGGTTAGGTTAGGTTAGGTTGTAGACAATATGTTAGATAAAAACTTTCACACAATTTTTTTTATTATGTCCTGATGAATAAATTTACTTAATGTCATATACATAAAACTGTGAAAAGAAGATTTTTTTTTAAATTTCTGTATTTATTCTTTATTTTTGTTTATTTTACTTCTGTAATTATTTACGTGTGTGTGTGTTTGTTATAGTCATCTTGTATTACCTTTTATACGAGTCCTCCCGATACCTTTACTGAATATAGTCATCTCATCTCTATACACATATTCTCTAACGCAACGAAAGTTTGATCGAAAACTAATAATTTACATTAATAACACAAATAAAATTCTTCTCTATCATTTGTTTTGCTGTTTAGTTACGTGACTTTAGGACAACTTTAAAAATGTGGACAGTGTAGACGTGTATGTGTGTCTGTAGGTACAAGAATATAGCAAGTTTAGCATAGTTACTCCTCCAATAACTTGTTTTCTCATGGGATGGTATAAGTCTTGGTGGTTTTATGTTTTGGCCCAACAGAAGTAAAGGATCTTGACATCACATAAAATAACTGATCATATTTAAAAGAAGATTCCCAAATAACAGATAAATCCTATTATATCCAGCTTGGGACGACGATAAAATAAACAGAAGTGATAACTCGTCGAAGCTGCACAGAGACTGTGTTGTGTTGACTCAATGACGAGGATGGAAGGTTGAGGGGTTGATGTGTTGTGGAGTGGTGGGGAGGTGGGGTGGGTGGTGAAGAGGGGGACAGTGGTGGGGAGGTGGGGGTGGGTGGTGTAGAGGGGACAGTGGTGGGGAGGGGGGTGGGTGGTGTAGGGGACAGTGGTGGGGTGGAGGGTGTAGAGGAGAGGTGGGGTGGGTGTAGAGGGACAGAGTGGGGTGGGTGGTGAAGAGGGGACAGTGGTGAGTGGGGTGGGTGGTGAAGAGGGGACAGTGGTGGGGGGTGGGTGGTGAAGAGGGGGGGACAGTGGTGGAGAAGGGGGGGGGGTGTCCTGTCTCCTTCACAACAATGTCAACAACAGACGTCAGCAATTTGTCTTAGGTCCACGCAATATCACCACAAACAATAAGAACAATTAATCTCTTCTGCCGCTGAAATAAAGGAACATCTTTTTCACCAGCTTGTCCTCTCTCCACGATGGTTTTCACTCGTTGTAAAATAATTAAAATAAAGTTTGTTCCAACGTTTTGTTTCAAGATGGGGACTGTGTTTACAAACTTTCCGGGTAAGTTTATAGCCACTTTATTAAGAGATTACATTTATTTCCTCCTCTTAGATTTGGTTTATAATTTCTTTGGTATTTTATTAATAAGACCTGTATGCTTATATATTAACACGTGAGAAACTTACCTGGGTGACGTTAGACCTACTGGAAGAAACCTATTTGAAGGACATGATTCATCTTGGAAACCTGTGATATAGTGGTGGTGTTTGGCTGATTGATTTTAACCTAACCTAACCTGACCTGACGTTCACTAATCGACAGAGAAAATAATTACTTATAAAAAACTAAGCTGGTGTGAGTGTTTGGTTTACAATACAAACAACTAGACGTGTGTGTGTGTGTGTGTGTGTGTGTGTGTGTAAACTTGATCTTGGAAAACCCTGTTGCCAAGACCAAGACTCATCTGGCCTTGACTCTCTCCGCCACCTCCTCCCTCCCATCACCTCCTCCCGCTCCTGCACTTCGTCCTCCTCACTCCTCAGTCGCCCTTCATCACTCGTGGAGGTAAGAGGTGCTGCTCTGATAGATTGAGGTACTGTAGTTTCCGATCACCTCAAGAATCACCCGTCTCTCAGTTTAATTTACCTGAAGGTTAACGACCCTAATATTAACCTAACCTAACCACAATATTTCTCGATACAGATACTGAGGCGTGATGGCGGGGAGAGCAGAGACACGCGCCCTGATGTTGTTACTCCTTCACCTGATGCTTACCCACGCCCACACGGCCACAAGTAAGTCCTAACCCACGGCCACAAGTAAGACCTAACCCACGCCCACACGGCCACAAGTAAGTCCTAACCTACGGCCACAAGTAAGACCTAACCCACGCCCACACGGCCACAAGTAAGTCCTAACCCACGGCCACAAGTAAGACCTAACCCACGCCCACACGCCCACAAGTAAGACCTAACCCACGCCCACACGGCCACAAGTAAGTCCTTATCTACGCTCACACTGTGTCAGGTATGTGTGTGTGTGTGTGTGTTATAAATAGCTCAGTAAACCCCCACTAGATCAGGTTTTACCCAGAGCTGCGGTACTGTTAACCTCCCAACAGCCTACGTCATCAAGGCCCAGTGTGTGTGTGTTTGTTACGGGTTACACTGTGTTTGTTACGGGTTACACTGTGTTTGTTACGGGTATCTCTGTGTTTGTTACGGGTTACACTGTTTGTTACGGGTTACACTGTGTTTGTTACGGGTTACACTGTGTTTGTTACGGGTTACACTGTGTTTGTTACGGGTTACACTGTGTTTGTTACGGGTATCTCTGTGTTTGTTACGGGTTACACTGTGTTTGTTACGGGTTACACTGTGTTTGTTACGGGTTACATTGTGTGTTTGTTACTATATCCTGTTTATTATTACAGTAAATATTTGTTTGTTTGTTTATTTTAGTTTTTTGTTATATATCCTTATTTTCTTATACCTCCTCCAACTGACGGGGATATAGCTATTACTCCGTCTGTCTGTCTGTGTCTGTCTGTCTGTCTGTTTATCTGTCTACATATCTATCATATACCAAAACAAAGTAGAATTATTATTATTATTATTATTATTATTATTATTATTATTATTATTATTATTATTATTATTATTGTTGTTGTTGTCTTATTCCCTTCCAACACTTTCAGCAGCTGTCAGTATAAATGATCACACTCGGATTAGCATTGGGTCAGGAGAGGTCAGTCCCATCGTCCTGTTAATTACCCCTGGCACTCCTGCTGTTAGTGTGAGTGTGGATGGTAGCTCCTTGGGTCAACAACAGTGCGGTGTGAGAGCCAGGTAAGAGGAGTCATCGGGTTTAATTGACACTCACCTGTTCTAATTGATTCTAAGTTGATCTAATTTAGTCAAAGTTAATGTAATTTAATGTTACTTAACGTAATTTAATATCTCCTAACCTAACTTAATGCTAACATATTTTAACTTAATTTATTCTAACACTCTATCTTAATTTAACATAACCTAACCTAACCTAATCTAACATAATCTGACCCCCAAGGTAGCGTAGTGTTATATAAGGTTAGATTTTGGTTAGGTTAGGTTAAGTAAGGTTAAATTTTGGTTAGGTTAGGTTTTAGTTGTTACTGTTTAGGTGAATAGACCGGGGGACGAATCTTGAGGTGATGACTTGTTTCTGCTGAAGGTGCAGTAGAGAACAGTCATGTGGTGGCGGAGTGACTCACTACTGCAGCTGCTGAGTGACACGAAGCACAACACCAGCAGCGCCACCGTCAGCTACACCAGGAGGGAACTTATGAATTAAAAAATAACTCACACTACTGTACTTGTATTGTCACACAGGAACTGCCTGGAGGTACAGGAACTGCAGGGACACAGGGTGAGCGGTGTGTACAGCATCTGGCCCTATGAGTGCTGCCGTGACCGGGTCGTCCAAGTGTACTGTGACATGGAGACGGTAGGTGGCGGGTGGACAGTGGTGCAGCGGAGGGACAAATACGAGACCCAGGAGGACTTCTACCAGCCCTGGACACGGTACGTCGAGGGTTTTGGTAACCTGACCCAAGAGTTCTGGCTCGGCCTTGACAACCTCCACGCCCTTACCAGCCAATCCAACATCACCTACGAGGCCAGGATCGATCTAGGTGACTTCGAGGGCGGCAAAAGGTGGGCTCAGTACACCAGCATCACGGTGGAAGATGCTAACTCCTCCTACAAGTTGGTCCTCGGTGAGTATTCGGGTGACGCAGGGAACTCCATGGACCATCACACCGGCAGGAAGTTCTCTACCTACGACAGGGACAGTGACGACCACGCCACCAACTGCGCCTCCACGTGAGTAAGATACTGTGTGTTAACGTCAGCAGATTGTATTTGTTTCTTGATGACACTGTCGCTACTGAGTCTTGTTCCTGATCTGTGACATTAATGATGATATTACTAATATTGTTACTATTATTAGTAGTAGTAGTAATAGTAGTAATAATAATAACAATAATCAACATTCTGTACATACACACATACACCCAACACTAGACAATATCTACAGTAACTACACCTCTCGTTCTGATTTCCCTAAAATGACCTAAAATATCCTGAAGGTGGTAATGGTATCTACAGGTACAAGGGGGCGTGGTGGTACGGAGGGTGTCACAACTCCAACCTGAACGGGCAGTACATGGAGGGAGCGACGGGTCAGGCAGCTCAGGGCATCATCTGGCAAGCTTGGCTAGGTGATGGCTACTCCCTCAAGAAAACGGAAATTAAAATACGACCCGATAAATTACCTTCATATTGTAGGCAATGAGTCTGACAGGTGATGACAGGTAATGTAAACATGTATAACTGTTTATGCCTGTCACCTTTGTAGTCGTTGGTAAAGTTTGAGCGTCTACCTACGTCAGCTTCGTAAGAAAAACGTTTGTCGTAGTTATACAGAGCAAAGTGAGGTGTGTCTCCTGTGATCTGATGATAAGAACAATTAATGGAATTGCATCTGACATACCAATTTTCGTCCCCGTTCATGTTATTAAAATCAGTGCAAGTACGAATGTCATTAAGGATATTCGTTAATAAGTCTTTCAATAATCTCGTACAAATGTCTTAACTTAGCTAGAATTTTACTATTAAATTCACTTCCATTGTCGGTGAAAAGAACTCTAGGGGCGTCATTGCTCTTAAGGAGATTCTTGCCACAGTTGACTATGTTGACGTATAAATGAATTGGTAAACTGTGTCACTGTGTTGATATAACGTCACTACGATTATAAGTTTGTAGTTTGTAAGAATAAATAAAGTTAATATGTTTGACGTGTCTCATTGTCATCGACTTTTAAAATCATATCCCACTATTGACGTAAATTACAATAAATTCTGTAAATTATTTATAAAACTCACTTTAAGGTTTCATTGGCCGTCTAATCTAATTATTTTTGGAGACTGGAATGATATTGTTATCTCTCTCATCTCAAGTTGCCCTCAGTATTTATATGTTAACTTGTGATCACATTCTTAGTATTAAAAGTATTAGTTTGTGTGAGTAATATTTTTTATGTTTATATAATGTGAATAATTTATAGTTGTTTTAGTATCAGACTGCCAGTATATAGTAGTTCTATTTAGACTAACGAAAAACTAAAACAAAAAATAGATAAAATGAATGGAACTAAAATATCACAAGAACATGAGTTTTATTCCTATTTAGTCAATGCTACACTTGATGAAGACGGGATATACTGTTTCATTCAAGAGTGATTTTTGTGATCGTTTAAAATAACTGAGTGGCCTATTGCCTGGTTTTCTTTGTCAAGCTGGAGTGAAGAATGTCAGGCTAGTCTGTCTGTCTGTTTCACACACACAGGTGGCGTGCAGGTGGGTGGTGGCGTGACCAGCTGTCATTCAGGAGTGGGTATGGCAAGGGAGGTTTATCGAAGGGACGAGAGTTAATGACTACCAGTAATAGGAATTTTTAGAATCGTTGCCTCCATCCGTGAGAGAAATTGCTGGAATCGAATGGGTGAAATTCCTAACCTAACCTAACCTAACCTACGAACCTAGTCTGAACTAACATACTTAACTAACTTAACCTATACTACATACCTAACCTAACCTAACCTAACCTAACCTACGAACCTAGTCTGAACTAACATACTTAACTAACTTAACCTATACTACATACCTAACCTAACCTACATAATCATTGGCTATATAATTAATGCAATATTGAGGTAAAAATGTTGCAGGAGACAAATATTGCAAGATAACACATCTCTCTCCTCTCCCCATTGATCACCAGGTGAGTGAGGGTGATCACCACATTACCTGAGTTATTTATGATCCGCTCACAGCCTTGTTCATTGTTTGTATGTATGTATGTCTGTGTTCTTGTTTGTGTGTGTGTGTGTATATACTTTGTGGATGTTAATATGCATGTACGTACGGGTGTGCGTTTGTATGTATGTACATATTTCGGATCACATGAAGATCAGGCACCCATGCTTATTTCCCGTAATTGTAAAATACCCTAACCTAGCCTAACTCCTCCAGGTAGCGTAGTGTTTAAACTTTCATCATCAGGTGAAGTAAGTTTATGGGGACTTATCTTCAGGTGATCTGGAAGATTTATCATGTTGACTCCGTGCTGAGGATCATTATTGTTTATGCACACACACACGTCCACACACACACACACACACGTCCACACACGTTCACACACGCACGCAGCATTCAGCAGGTGAGGGGGGGGGGTTGAGGGGTGAGGAGGTGAGAGAGAGGGGGTAGGAGTGGGGGGGTCAGTATGGATCTAAGAGGGGTGAGGTTCTCCGTGGTCACCCGGACAGTCGGTCTCGTGACGTTGATACAAACTTTGCATGATTGTGGGAGCTCTGCCGCCGAGCCCCTCAGTCGAACCCCCGCCCTCACCCCGGTAGGAGGTCCCTCACACCTCTTTCTGTCCCATACTTCACCATCCGGCCCTTCTGCGTCTCCTCTGGATAATGGATACGTCCTCCTTCGTCGGGCTTTAATAGTTGTATATGTGTGGGTGTGTGTGTACCCCCTCCTACTATTCTTCTAAACCTTCTACAGGAAAAATCCAGGTTCCTCACTCCTGCCTCATAACCTGGCCCCCCCTCACACCTCGCCTGCGTCCCCTGCATACAGATCATGTGACTCATTGAACCGAATCAAACAATAAGGAATGTATAACTTACTTCCGTTGTCGTGATCTTCAGACACCTCCCTCACGCCTCACCACTTGACCTCATCTACAAGCTCCTCACACCTCCCTACTGCCTCACACCTCCTCAACATCCGGACCTTCTGCTCCTCCTACGGGCAAGGAACACTAACCCACCGTGAGAACTGTGTGGGTGTACGCATACGTGTTATAAATAGTCTTGTGGACGACGATTTGGCCAGCATTGACAGGGATCTTGGAACTACGAAATCTTTTATCCAGGCTAGTGGTTTAATGCAGTTATTTTGTCTTTCTGTCTCTCATTATTCATTCATCTCTCTCGTGTACAAGAAGTGGGTCAAGGACGTACAGTGGGAGGCGTTATATGCTTTTGTGTTGAACCTAACGTCGATAAGAGACCCTAGATGTTTTTTATATGACTAACTCGTTATATTCCTCTCTCTCTCTCCTTGTGGGGTCATATATGGGAACGATGCTTTTCATTTCTATATCATTTCAGAACAACGTAAAAAAAAAAATCCTTTAATACAAAGAAAAATGAGATACTGAAAACTGATTTTGTTTTATTAGTTTTGAAGACCAGGAGGAAATTTATTATTTTATGCTATGTAGGAGAGAGAGCGTGTGTGTGTGTGTGTGTGTGTGTGTGTGTGTGTGTGTGTGTGTGTGTTAGGTATATACAGTATAATATAGAGTGTGTTGTGGTGTTAATGCGTATTATAGAGGTTGTGTTATAATTTGTAAACTGTTATGGTTATAGCTACTAGCGTAACAACTATCATACTACTACTACTACTACAACCATTACCACTCCTACAACAACTACCATGCTACTACTACTACAATCACCACAACCACTATTACAACAATCATTACTACCACTACTACTACAATCACCACAACCACTATTACAACAATCATTACTACCTCTACTACTACAATCACCACAACCACTATTACAACAATCATTACTACCACTACTACTACAATCACCACAACCACTATTACAACAATCATTACTACCACTACTACTACAATCACCACAACCACTATTACAACAATCATTACTACCACTACTACTACAATCACCACAACCACTATTACAACAATCATTACTACCACTACTACTACAATCACCACAACCACTATTACAACAATCATTACTACCACTACTACAACAATCACCACAACCACTATTACAACAATCATTACTACCACTACTACTACAATCACCACAATCACCACCATCACTTCCACCACAACAACTATTACAAAGTCTTTCACTATCTCTAAGCGACCAAAATCTCACTGAATCAAGATACGTGATTTTATGAGATTAGAATGAGACAGACAGACAGACAGACAGACAGACAGACAGAATGAGAGAGAGGTGAGGGTGCGGTAGACTCTATTGATTAACTTGTGTTACCTGTAGTCTTAACCCCCAGATGCCACACAGGTAAGCCAAGGCCTCTCTCTCTCTCTCTCTCTCTCTCGCTCTCTCTCTCTCTCTCTGGCGTAAAGACAAAAGTAGAGGTTGTTTCCAAATTAGAAATAAACTATGTAAATAAATTATGATATACAACAGAAAAGTGAAATATTTCGTGCATTTAGGAAGTAACATTAGCTGTGATGGTGGCTGTGTGGAAGAAATTAAAACAAGATTAAGAAAAAAAAACGGAATTTAATAATCTTAGAGACTTGATAGAAACATTAACTTTAATTTTATAAAAGGCTGCTGAAATGTTAGGTTAGGTTGTGTTATGTTAGCTTGGGTTAAGTAAGGTTTGGTTAGGTCAGGTTAGCTTGGGTTAAGTAAGGTTTGGTTAGGTCAGGTTAGCTTGGGTTAAGTAAGGTTAGGTTAGGTCAGGTTAGCTTGGGTTAAGTAAGGTTAGGTTAGGTCAGGTTAGCTTGGGTTAAGTAAGGTTAGGTTAGGTCAGGTTAGCTTGGGTTAAATAAGGTTGCGTTAGGTAAGGTTAGGTTAGGTTATGAAGCCGAGTTAAAGGTCACAAGAGGAAGGTTTTGTAATGACGGTCAGGACTGAAAGGTCAATAGGATGACGTCATAGATACAAGGTGAAGTATCAAAGGTCAGGGTGAAAGGTTAGGGTCATACCTTATTTTTCTCAGTTACTATAATTTATTAATAATTTACGATCATTTTCTACAAGTTACAATAACATACGATACGATGCGATCATTTACGATACTTTATGATCAAGACACGCGCACAATTATGATAATTATACTAACAGCTATACCACCCTAATGGCTGTTAATGAGTGAGTAATTATCTCTCTCTCTCTCTCTCTCTCTCTCTCTCTCTCTCTCAGAAGTACCTAGGTGTGCCGTAATAATGTGGTACTATGGTATAACAGTGTTGCCAGATAATATTAAACACTGTGTATGGTTGTTTGTCAATGTTTCTCTTGTTATATCTTCAACAGGTTCAGAGACACACAGTAACTCATGGCGCTTCAGGAAGACTCACACGCCCCCACGACGACCTTCTGCAGGAGATGTAGTGGTTAATATATAAGTCAGTCTTCCTCTCCTGTCCTGAGTGTGTGTGTTATGGGTAGACTCGGCCTCAGGTAGATAATTATGAGTAAGGTGAGGCCCATCAGGTGTGTCCAGCAGCCAACAGGTACGGAGACCCTGGTCGTCCTGGTGCCTAAAAGAAGCCGTAGGTCCTCCAGTAAGAAGCGCACACCACCAGCAGCGTCCACCAACACCGCCTCTGAGGACACCATGCTCAAGACGGGTGGGAATTTCAGCTCTGATGGTGGTTATGGTACCATGAATCCCCTGTTCTCACCCGCTGACGAGGTTGGGCTGCCCCCTGACTTGCCGGAGCCTCTCAGACCTACCATACCCACCAGCTGCTCCATGCCCACCATACGTGCCCTGGCCACCACCCTCACCAGCCTCATGGCCCCACACCCGCCGCCACCTGAGGTCTGTTACAACGTGGCCGCCGTCGACCCTCTCAGCCCCAACCTGTCCCCGCCGCCCAACACGCCCATGTCCCCGCTGTCTATACCAACCAGTCCCTCACTCTCTGCCACTCGATCAGGCCCCAAGACCCCGGGCTCTAACCCTCTGAGTCCCAGTATTATTACGCCCCCCAACACCCCCTCGACTCCTCTCTCAGGCCTGGCAGGACCTCAACAGGAGGGCGCGGACAAGTATACTCTAAATTATCCCCAGTTCCCGGTCGCCACAGCTGTCACCGCCTCAGGACCTCTCTACAACATCCTCAGCCCTGACCTCGTTGACCTGACCAATCTTCGGCCACTACCGGGTGAACATCTTCAGACAGCTCCCAGTGACCCCAGACACGCGGCGGAGAAGAATATCTGCACCTGCTCAGCCGTCCCCAACCCTTACTTCGTGGAGCATTACGGCGACGCTGAAGCGGTCATACAAGACCTAGTGAACCTCGGTAACGGGGTGTACGATGCTGGCGGCCGAGGGAGGCGTGACCAGCCCACCAAGTACCCGACAATACAGGAACTTCCGGGTAAAGCCAGGGACTGGGACACTCTGGGGGAGAAGGAGGACCTCGTGGCGGCCTGCTGGCACCACCAACACACCTCCACCACCCCTCCTGAGAACCCCACCAACACCACCCCCCAGAGACCAGACACCGAGACCAACAAAGCCCACAACAATCAGACCAAAAAGAAACCAAAGGATAAAAACCGACGGAAAACACCCGACCGGAGCGACTGTCGGCTAGTGTTGACCGACAGTGAGGACGACCACAAGAAACACTCCCGCTACCGCAAGCTGAAGATCCCGATGATCGACGATGACGTGGACTGTCGTAAGCCTGACTCTGACGTCACGACGACCACGGAGAGTGACACCTCCTCCTCCCTCTCCCTTGACCTTCTCGGTGAGTAGCCCCGTCTGTAGTGTTTATGTAGCCCCGTCTGTAGTGTATATGTAGCCCCGTCTGTAGTGTATATGTAGCCCCGTCTGTAGTGTTTATGTAGCCCCGTCTGTACTGTACCTCCCTAGTTCCTCCTTCCTTCCCTACCCCCATATCTCCCTGTATCCTTCACTCTCTTCCTTCCTCCTTCACAATCCCCTCTCCTCCTTCCCTTCCCCCTTCCTCCCCAAAGCTAACTTGGTGATCATCTTTGTTGACAGTCATGGCGATGTCGTCACGCCACACTGACAGGAACCGTCTACCAACAAGACAGTTACTAGCCTCCTGTCACGTGATGGTTGTGTGTGTGTGTGTGTGTGTGTGTGTGTGTGTAACAAAGACAGACATCACATCATGGTCAAATTAAAGTCATTAGCTAAGCCTCTGACAAGTTAATTAGCCTAATGGAGTCCACTAGCGTCCCTCCCACGACCTGTTGAACACTGGTGCCTTACCTGGGATCACCTGAACATTGGGCAACCTTAGCTTATTTTATCTGGTGATTAAACTTCCTAACGTTACCAATAGGAGGTTAGGTTAGCGTTAGGTTAGGGTAGGTCAGGGTAAATAGGTTTGGGTTGGTTAGGTTAGGTTAAGTTAGGTTAGCATAAGGGTGATTAATAGGTAAAATAAGCTGGGGTACCTAGTTATCAGGTCATCCCAGGTCTCATTAATTCCTTCTCTAATTTACAGTTTTATTCAATAACCAACAGTCATCTTAATCAGATTCACGACATTATCATACCTGGAGATCCTGGAATAACCCAAAACACGACAGTTATTAGCGTAGGTCAGGCGAGGGTTGGGAGAGCTTCACGCACCACCAACAGCTTCTCGCACCACCAACAGCTTCACGCACCACCAACAGCTTCCCCTACAAGAAATTCCAATAATGTTACAGACTACTGATCACTCTCATACACGTATAGTCTCTTAAAGTCATTGATAAAATCGCCAATAAATTACGATATATTTTAGCTGTGAGTGAAGCTGTAGTTTATTATTATTGATTATGAATAAAAATAAGTTTTTAACTGCTTTCTTGGGTTATATACTTGGTTAAATTGACTTATCGTTTTTATCCGCATTGTGTCTGTACAGTTGCTCGCGACTCTGTGCTTGCGGTAACGACGCAGTCAAGATATCCCAGACCGAGTGATGATGGATGGGGGGGAGGGAGGGGGGGATTATCTATCTACCTATCTATCTATCTGTAACATAGCAATTGACACACTTCTTTTGTTTACAGGTCCAGGAGCATCGCAATTGGCTGAGCAACTATGTGACGTTACGAGTGAGGCGGGGCGACTTATAACACGGGAGGTCCAAGAGGTGAGTCAGTCAAACGCGGGAGGTCCAGGAGGTGAGTCAGTCAAACGCGGGAGGTCCAGGAGGTGAGTCAGTCAACACACCATGAGTACCTGGTGAGGAACAAGACTCTCACACAACGTATTTATCTGTCAGTACGTGAATAAATGAGTAAATGATAATATATATAGAGAAAAATTCAATTAATATGAAGATTAGGTCCCCAAGTTTATTTCCTCTTAAATCCAGTGATTTAACAACCTAAGGGAGGGGGGGGGGTAGGTTACGGAGGGGAGATGGTGAAGGGAAGGAGGTAAGGAGAGGAGAGGGGTGAAGGGAAGGGAGGGGTGAGAGGAGAGGGGTGAAGGGAAGGGAGGGGTGAGAGGAGAGGGGTGGGGAAGGGAAGGAGGGGTGAGGGTGAAGGGAAGGGAGGGGGGTGAGAGGAGAGGGTGAAGGGAAGGAGGATGAGAGGAGGACGGGTGAAGGGAAGGGTGAGAGAGAGGGTGAAGGAGGGGAGACAGGGAATGAGTTCCCTTAGAGCATTTTAGGAATTTTAGAACACAGGTTTCATAGAATCAGTGTTCGTTGTTGAGTCATGCAGTGTAATGCTTCTGTAACTCTCTCTCTCTCACTCTCTCTGTAACTCATCTCTGTCTGTAACTCCCCCTCTCTCTCTGTAACTCCTCTCTGTAACTCATCTCTGTCTGTAAGTCCTTCTGTAACTCCTCTCTCTCTGTAACTCATCTCTGTAACTCCCTCTCTGTAACTCCTCTGTAACTCATCTCTGTCTGTAACTCCCTCTTGTAACTCCCTCTGTGAACCCATCTCTGTCTGTGTTCCTTCTCTCCTCTCTCTTTGCACCTCTCTCTCTCTGTAACTCATCTCTCTCTGTTACTCATCTCTCTCTCTGTTACTCCTCTCTCTCTCTCTGTAACTCCTCTCTCTCTCTGTTACTCCTCTATCTCTCTGTAACTCCTCTCTCTCTCTGTTACTCCTCTCTTTGTTACTCCCTCTCTCTCTTTGTTACTCCTCTCTCTCTCTGTAACTCCTCTCTCTCTCTCTGTTACTCCTCTCTCTCTCTGTAACTCCTCTCTCTCTCTGTTACTCCTCTCTCTGTAACTCCTCTCTCTCTTTGTTACTGCTCTCTCTGTTACTCCCGACACAACAGGAGTCGCAGTGTTCATTCTCAAACTCATCGACCTCCACCAAGAAACCTTTTGGGGGAGGGAGTCAGTTTACGCTGGTCCCTGTAACTACTAATTAATTTTCTCTAGTTATGATCGAACAGCACAACTTGTACCAGGTCTAGATATCTCCCCTAATGACCTACAATTAGTAAGTATTAGTTGATGAGGTCATGTGTACAGTGTTTTAAGTAGTTGACATTGTTCGCCTGGTGATTCATTACAGAAACGTGTAATTACCATCTAACCTCAAGTCAGGTCACAGTAATTACCTCTTGACCTGATATAACCAATTACTCGCTATACACGGGAATTGGTATGGGCCATTACAAGGGGTTAAGTCCGAAGACCTCAAGGTAACTCAATGTTTACTGAAGGTTAATAATGAAATAAAACTATGGATCACTTGAAGATTAACTATGCTAACCTAACTTAACCTAACCAAGTTAACCTAACCTAATCTTCCTCCTCCTCACCCCCCCCCCCACCCTTCCCCCATTCCCCACCTACCTCCTCCAAAACCTCCTCCCCTCGTCCTCACCTTCTTTCCCTCCCCCTCAAACCTCACGTGCCAGTACACCATGCCGAATTATGCCGAATTATGCCGAGTTACGAGAATGGCTTGAGGTAATGCGCTTATGGCAGTTTATAGCTCACCTGGTAATTAGGACCTGAACGACCACCTGTGTCTTAACAATCTGTGCAGGGAGAGATAGTTATTATTGACTTAAAGTTATATGATGGATAAATAGGTGGAGGAATGGATAGTTTGAAGGAGAGAGAGATTATTGCAATTACTCTATCTCTCTCTCTCTCTCTCTCTCTCTCTCTCTATTTAATTTATTATAATTTATCGTAATTATCTTTCCTTCCTCATTCGCTAAAACCATTCAGGGTACAAGGTGATTATATAATGGTTTAGTGAGGATAATGTGGTTAATGGGCTAATGAAGGGGTAATTATAGTAATGGATTTTAGATAATTAGATAAATAGACACTTAGTACTCATAGAGGTACCGTACGATCGTTGCAAAGATGGATTACCTTACTTATGAATATGTATATTGATGTTCTTTTGTTTTATGGACATTCTTATTTGCTATTATGGGATTATTATACATTTATTTACGTAATGGCCACCTGAACGAGAGAGAGAGAGAGAGAGAGAGAGAGAGAGAGAGAGAGAGAGAGACAACTAAGTACAATAAATGACATCAATCAAACACCTCACTAACAAAAACAAAACGACCTTAAAAATAATAGTTTGTGTGAAAGCAGGAGTGAACGAGGCAAGTAATAATACTGGTAGTTTGAATACATTTACTAACGCCTTTGTTCACTCACATGCGTCCCTAGACAGGAATGTTAGCTTGGGTTTTTTGTAATAGCTTAGTCAGTGGTAAGCAAAGTACTCTTAATTTATCACTTAACTATACTTTTAAGCTTACTAACCTTTCCGGGTATTTGGTCTGTTCTTTGCATTATGAACTTGTATTGCCCATTGTTAGTACCTGGAGTAAACCTGAGTACTGGATAACACTGGTCTTCCCTCCTGTGTCCCGGACCAAGACTCGAGCTCATGACGTACTTGTGAGAGATACGCCTGTTACCACCAACACCCCTGAGGACAGCGTCATACTAGCCCTGTCACACACGTATAGCGAACTAGCTCGCCAGCCTTAATGCTTCTGTAGTCTTCAATTGTAAACAGACCGCTTGATGTAAACAAACATATTAAGATGTATTTACGAATATCACCTTCAATAAAAATACACTTAAACAATTTATTAATACACGATACTCAAAACTTTTAAAATTAAACTTACATATAATACATGGCTCGATATATATATATATATACAATCAACACATCAACCCTCCAGGATTCGAACCCACGGCCAACATGCCCATGATTGTGACCAGGGAACGCTACCTCTGGACCACCAGGACACTAAAAGCAGTCCTAGACTCTGTTATATTTCACACAAAGCCTGTTCAACGAGCTTATGGCGTCGTGAACCTCTAATGGGGACTACCCGTATCACGTAGGTGGTCAGAGTAACTTTTTACCAAATCCTGCTTCGAAACACGAGGATCCATATATATTTCATTAGCCCAATAAACCACGCGGACTTCTACATACAATGTAGAAGTCTGCGTGGTTTATATATATATATATATATATATATATATATATATATATATATATATATATATATATATATATATCATTAGCCCAATAAACTCCTCATTATCGAGTATAGATCTTGACTTGACCACGGAAACTGGAGCAAGCCAATCAGGAGGAAATTATACCTTTCGTCTGAGCGAGGTGAGCTAGAAAAATTAACAACTCGTGAGAAAAGTACTAGTGTGACGCCGCATTTTTGGTGCAAAGACAAAATTCAACTGGACAATATCACACTGAAAAATATCGCCAATCAAAAATTTTACCCAAAATAAAATCCACTTCAGAATTTCATTAGACAATATTTATCGAGACAAAAACTCTACTATGTTGTTCGTTCATCAGACAAAATTCCATCTAGTTTTTTTTTTTTTTATCCTCTTCGCCACTGATCGGCTTGTTAGCCGCTTGGGCGATCGGCCACGTCTCTTTTCCTTTATATTCTTCACCAAAAGGTCGGCTCACTAGCCGCCCGGGCGATCGGTCACGTCTCTGTCACGCACTGTTGGCAAATACTGGGCATGCACCGGCTCCTGAATGTACCTGAACCCGCTCTAGTGTTGGTCAAGTCTTGTCTTGAAAGAGCTCACACTCGGTGCCGTCACAACACTCTCTGGTAGATTGTTCCAAGAGTTTACAACCCTCACTCCGAAAAAGTTTGCCCTCACGGTTTTCTGGACGCGGCTTCTTCAATCTTGAGCTGTGACCCCTTGTGGGGCGAGCGTCCGCCAGCTCCAAGTAAGGACACTCAACTGAGTAGTGCCCCCTGAGATGCTTATAAACCTCAACTAGGTCCCCCCTCAAGTCCTAACGTAGCACAAGTTTAGGTTGGATGGGGTTTTGTCCTTCAACTCTCATGTGTTGGGGGAGGGGTGACCGTTACGCTGTATATTATTCCACCCAAATAAACAATAGGAGACCTATTTTAATAAACGTACATAGTAATAGGAAGTCATCATGTGGTAAGGGACGAAATGGTGGAACAACTGCATTAATCTCAAGGTTACAGAGACTGAATATTATGTTACAGCGAAAAAGTTACCGGATATCGTAGATTATATTAGTTATAGCATAAATAATTACGTTTTCTTTAAAGAGTTAATGAAAAAGAAAACGTCGAAAAATTTTAGTTGGTTATTAATCTATAAACGTCTCTCTAGCCTGTCCTTTGAAGATTGTTAGAGAAAGTCTTTTATAATTTATTTCATATGACCTTGATCTTGACCTCTGACCTGGTGCAGGGGATCAACTACCTGACGGAGCCGGAGGACTCATTGGAGTTCGGGTGGCTAGACGCCCTCACCGGCATCATCTCCATCGTCACCTTCTACTTCGACCTGGTGTCCGACTCCTTGGTGGCCTTCTACATGTATGACGACCCAGCTGCCCAGTACTGGTTCCTCGCCACCCTACTGCTGCTAGGTCGGTGACACCTCCTTCCTCCTCCTCCCTTACTCCTCTACCCTTCTTCCTTTTCCTCTTATTCTTCCTCTTCCTCCTCTACTCTTAAACTTCCTTTTCTTCTTATTTTTCCTTCTCTGCCATCCTTACTCCTCCTAATTTCCCTCTTTTCTTCTTATTCTTCCTCTTCCTCTATTCCTTTTCCTTATCCTCCTCCTTCCCTTCTATCCCACTACCTCAGATCCTCCCCTCCTGCTGGTGGTGTGGTGTGTACGTGATTCAACAAACGTACACAGTCACGTACACCTTCAGTTCAGTCGACATAGTAGCGTGACTAAAGACCATGACCAAGTTAAGAGCTCTTGCTAGCTAGTAAACATTAAACACGATAGAACAATGCGTTTTGTCGACTCCTGGCTGTGATATGCGACTCAAAACACACGAGTACGAATCTTTGACTCATACAACACATGTTTGACTCTATGACTCATACAACACATGTTTGACTCTATGATTCATACAACACATGTTTGACTCTGACTCATATAGCACATGTTTGAATCAATGACTCATACAACACATGTTTGACTATGACTCATACAACACATGTTTGAATCAATGACTCATACAACACATGTTTGACTCTATGATTCATACAACACATGTTTGACTCTATGACTCATACAACACATGCTTAAATCAATGACTCATTCAACACATGTTTGAATCAATGACTCATACAACACATGTTTGACTCTATGACTCATACAACACATGTTTGACTCTATGACTCATACAACACATGCTTAAATCAATGACTCATTCAACACATGTTTGAATCTATGACTCATACAACACATGTTTGACTCTATGACTCATACAACACATGTTTGACTCTATGACTCATACAACACATGTTTGAATCTATGACTCATACAACACATGTTTGACTCTATGATTCATACAACACATGTTTGACCCTGACTCATATAGCACATGTTTGAATCAATGACTCATACAACACATGCTTGACTCTATGATTCATACAACACATGTTTGACTCTGACTCATATAGCACATGTTTGAATCAATGACTCATACAACACATACGATACAGAGAAGTGTGTACTGTACTGTATATAAACTTGAGGGCTTTGGTATGTGTCCAGAGGCTCTGAATGAAGCAGAACAACACGTCGATACCAATCAAATATTTATAAAGGAAAAAAGAAGAAAAAAATATTTCTGAAAGAATTCTGATATAGAGTTTGGAACGCCTGAAGATTAGGTTAGGTTAGGTTAGGCTAGATTAGATTTTTGTAATGTTAAGTTAGCATTGTTCAAATTAGATATTAGATTTGATTAGGTAAGGTTAGTTTAGGTTAGGTTAAGACACCGTTAGATTAGGTTAATGTTAAAGTACCATAAGAAGGAACTAATATACATGTTTTTTATACATATACATCTAATAAATATACATATAACACAGTATTGCCTATGGTGGTGGCCAACGGGTTCAGTCTGTATTGGTACTGGTTCGATGAGCGCTCCTGTCAACCCCAGAGCTGCCCTAGACACCCCAGGGTATCCACTTATGTGTGGGTGTTCCGTGTGGCTGCCCACCTCCTACTGCAGGCCCCTGTGCTAAGGTGAGTCTCCTGCAGGATAGAGATAAATAGGAAAATAGTAATACAATTTTACAGTGGATTCAGTATGTATATTGACAACACAGGTATACAGGGGATCGTACTGTTACAGGCAGGTGGACATTGTATACTATGGCACCAAGAGCACGGCGGAGACGGTGTTGCGGGAGGCCCTGGTGGACGAGGTGATGGAAGCCGCCCTAGTCGATCCTAACCAGTCCCAAGACCTACACGACGGAGGACCTGACCTACAGAAGGACTCCACATCCCACAAGGACCCCACAGCCTACAAGGACCCCCCAGGAGCCAGCAGCAGGTCCTCCACACGGCTCAGTCATAGCCGAGACGGGGCGAACCCAAGTCCTGCTTCTACCAACAAGAGGTCCGTGTCAGGTAAGAGTGTTATAGAGATGGGAGAAAGGTGAAATATCTCTCTCTCTCTCTCTCTCTCTCTCTCTCTCTCTCTCTCTCTCCGATAAATTGTCAACATTCTCCTCATTGTGAATCCCATAACACAAGTTGTCTCAAGAATATTATTGGTGATGTGACAAGCTGTACTGTTGCAGCGTGTTCGGTGAGGACGGGAGGAGCGTGCGCGCGGGGAGGCTACGTGGCGCTCTGGATACATGCCGAGAGGGACGCTGCCAACGTGGAGCTCCTACTGGCGTTAATCCAGGACGCCCCGCTGTTGATCCTCCACCTCTACATCATGTCCCACACCCTACCCGCCCAGGCTCTCCAGGGACACCTCAGCCACACACGTGAGTCTCAGCTGGGAAGGAGTGAGGGATCATCACCTCTGCCACCGCCATCCACTCTATACTTCATCTACCAATCAGCACCCAACTAGCACTCACCGTAATGGCTGCTGGAGATGCTATTAGGAGGGGGGGGGTCTCAGTGAGGAGGGAAGTATATTTGTGTTTTTCAGTTAGTGTAAAGAAATATATTTGATGATTGGTTATATATTGTTTGTTATTATAGTCTCTCTCTCTCTCTCTCTCTCTCCTTCGTTCACTGCCTTACCTCTACTACCTCCTCCTCCTCCTCCGGTAGTAATGATGCAGATGGTGTCGGTAACGATGTCACTGCTGGCACTGGCGTGGTCTGTTGCCTCCTTCGTCAGGGCCACCCGCCTGACGGAGCCCAGCCTGGGGAACCTGAGCATCCTCGACCTGTTCCTTCTCACCCTGGCTCACTTCTGTTCTATCGCCCCCCAGGTTAGTCACTCACCCACGACCAGGTCACTCATACACCCACACCAGGTCAGTCATTCACCTACACTAGCTCAGTCATTCACCCACACCAGGTCAGTCACTCGCCCACACCAGGTCAGTCACTCACCCACACCAGGTCAGTCACTCACCCATACCAGGTCACTCATTCACCCACACCAGGTCACTGCTCTCCTCTTTCCCCAACTATTACAAAAATTAATTCACTTTAACACCTGTATATAAAGTCCTTACCTGTGCAATTAAGATACAATCACTGGAAACCAAAATATTTATACCTGGAAGCCATTAACCCCCAGACAGACACAGAGACTATTAACGTTGATACTTTACCTGAAGGAGTAGATGAAGTGTTAATGAGATTCTTTCGTATTTCAGGTGATGAGTTTTTCCTTCTTCGCCTCCAGCTTCGTCGTCGCCTTCTTCGTGGCTGTCACCATACACTGGGTCTTTATGGCCACCTGGATACTTCTACAGGTGAGGCATCGTGTTCAGCCTCCATAGTCTTACCTTGATGTTTGTTTATGATGAGGTATAACCACTATAGGGTTAGGTTAGGTTAGGTTAGGTTAGGTTAGGTTAGGTTAGGTTAGATTAGGTGACTCAGGGTTATATCAGCTCATTCAGGGTGATTATAAAACCTTCTTGTTAGAGCCTTTAAACAAACACAAAAAACGTTTATGCTCCTGTAAATAAAAACAGAAACGTTCCTCATACTATAAAACACACATAAACGCTCCTCCTCTCACCACAGCTGATGTGCTTCCCGCGGACTACCTGCTCCCGGGCCTTCTTCACCCACGACCGCCAGCGGGGTGTTTGCCACTGGCTGGATGACGTCCTGTACAGCGCCGTGATGGGTCTGGTCTTCGTCTTCACCTTCGTGGACGTGGGTGGAGTGGCTGCCAAAATTCAAGGACTTTTCTACCATGTCCTTATCCTGCTGGAAGAGTTGATCCTACTGTCTGTGTGGTAACTGTCTCCCTCCTGTAGAAGTTTGTCACCTCTGTAGATCTATAACACACACACACGGACGATTGTCATTACTGTAGTATCATTTAGCTCTGCATTTACTTTATTCTTTAATATTGAGGCTTAAATAATTCCATAAGTGACCTTCTTTTACCTTCAAGAGGCCTCACTCGTTAGTACTGTATTATTACACCTCTGGTTGTGTTATTAACCTGTGTGTATTCGTTTATTGACCTAACCTGACTTATCTTGTATCTCCTGACCTTTCCTGTACCCTCCCTCCCCCGTGACCTGAACTAACCTGGTGTGTGTGTGTGTGTGTGTGTGCAGGTTGATGTGGGTGGAGGAGGTGTCATGGTACCACTGGCTGCCTCTGGTGATGGTTCTCATCCTCTTCTGCCTCCACTTGCTGTTTGACGCTCTCTTCACTGCCAACGCTAAGCCCACCCACTGCCTGCTGCTACAGTCCTCTCCCAAGGCTGTGTGAGGGGCTAGATTGCCTACCTATCCCACCCACAGCTTCCTCCCGAGTCGTGCGTGGGCCAAAACTGCCGCCCATTCCGCCCACAACAGCTCCCAACTAATTGCTGCGTGCAAGCCCATCCGTCCAATAGTTGCCTTATTGAGCTCTCTCTCTCTCTCTCTCTCATCGGATTCTCCTACCTCTCCTTATCAGCCTTTTCCACACCTTTCCCTTATCCCCATCCCTCTTCTTCCTTCATCCCTGCCCCCCTCACCTCTTCCGCCTCTCCCCAGTCCTTGACATTTACCCTATTTATTAAAATATCCATAAATGCCCGCTTTTTTACCCCTCCATAAACTCTATTTCTTCCCTCCATTAACTCTTTAAGAAGCAGAGACCTCTCCTAAGCGTGAATAAAATTATCTGGCGTTAACTAGAAACACAAGTATTTTCATGGATGCTAATAATTAATATCTTATACACACTTGTATAGCAAGCTGTAGAACCGCCAACTAGTTCCGTGCATCTAACATTGATTAATTTTTGCATGAGTGGCGTTGTGGTGTTGTAATAAGAGCTAAAATAGAGTTTATTTTGTTATAATTTAGCAAAGAAGTATTTTAAAGTAGAGTGTCCGGGTAATATATATATATAATATTTATTAATTTATTTACACGTAAGAGGAATGAGTTTTTTTTTCCAGAATGATGAACGTGATGTTGTTGACTGATGAACGATAAAATGTATTAATGTGTATCTCAGAAAGACTGTAAATTTATATATTAGCGAGATATTTATCTGTCTGTCAACCCGTCCATAATCTTCAGGGATTCACATCATACACAGAGCACGAGTCAGCTCCCGCACATAATTTGTGTTTTAGACATTAAAACTCAAACACAAGATAAAGTCTGAATAGAAAATGTAGAATAAAAGTAGAAAAATAACATTATTCATCCTCATCTTTTGGAGTTTATTCATATACTGTATTTAAAAAAATTTCACTGGTTTCTTAAGATATTTATCGCTAGAATTATTGGTCAACAATATCTAATGTTTTTTCTTGATCGTAACCATAAATATAATTGATCAGCTTTACTTGAGCTTAAAAAAAAATTATATAATACCTATGAAAAAATCTTTATTAAATATATAATTATTGTTCGCTTACGATAAGTGCAAAGATGTGATGGTATAAATGTTGCTTTATATTACTAAGGTGAACTGGAGGTCATTGTGTGTTAGTCTTAGTACTGGATTACAATCAAGAATATCGGTACATATCAGTAGAGGACACTTGGTCAGATAGACACTTTGTTATCAGGATTACACTATTGAAAGTTTGCACTATTAGCTACCAATATCTTCCCTCATTTGTTGTTTTGTGAGTTATTTAATAAGTACAGTAAAGGGATTTTCAGTATATATTTCTATCCAATGTTGTTGATGTTTCAATGTATTATTACGCTTCAACAACTAGGGTGTTCTTGAAGCTCGTATTCTGGGTTAGTTATATAAAGTAATCCTCAGTAATTAAGAAAATAGAAGATTTACATCTCTCTGGTTAAAGATTTTAGCTTCTTGGTTGAGGTTAACAAAGAAACTTTTGTTTGGATGACTTACATGTTGCAGCAATCATTCCTAAGTAATCTCTGAGATGGAATTTCTAACGTTACGATGTTTGTCATAACAAGGTTGGCAAAATTCAACATTGCTTACGAATTTGAGGGTAAGTGAGATAATGATATACCGTAGCGTACTCAGCGCCTTCACACCTTAAACCAAAACCTTACCTTTAAATACATACTAAAACTTATGTAACCCAAACAGATCTTACCTAAGCTGAATAAATCTTACTTAAACCTGAGCATGACTAACCTGTTCTAACCTAGAGGTGTAGAATTATGACAAAAAACAACAGAATTTGACATCTATAACAACTTAGACAGCATTTCTTAATTTTACAAAACATTTAATAATACAGAAGTTAAAACACGAAACAAAACAACATTAAGGAGGCGTATCACATGTCCAATAGGACGAGGAAACAGCCTTGACGAAAACCAAATGTGAAAAGGACCTGTGTGTGTGTGTGTGTGTGTGTGTTTACAATGAACTGAAGTTCTCGGACCATTGTGAAAAAAGGTAAGTCAAGCAACTAAACTAGTGGGTCTCATAAGAAGGTCGTTCACATACCTAGATGGTGCGTCCATCATAACTCTCTTCTGAAGTGAGGTGCTTCCGTCTGGGGTACTGTCACCCCGTCTGGTCCCCGAGTTATGTTCAAGACTGTCAGTTGATTGAAAACGTCCAAAGGAGGCCCACCAGACTGGTACCTGCACCACGGCATCTCAGGTACCCAGAAATTAGAACAGCTGTAGTTGCCCAGCTTATACTATAGGCGGGCAAGGAGTGACTTACCAGAAGTCTGTAAACTGGCGGATGCCCGCCACACGAGGGGTCACAGCTCTAGGTTGAAGAAGCCACAAGTTCATAAAACTGTCAGGACAAACTTCTTTGGAGTGAGAGTTGTTAACTCTTGGAACAATCTGCCAGAGAGTGTTGTGAGGGCACGAAGTGTGAGCTGTTTCAAGACCATACTTGATCAACACTGGCGCAGGTACAGATACATTCTGAAGTCAGTATTTACTAGAAAAGTGACCGACTGTCCAAGCGGCTAACAGGCCGACCAGTGGCGAAGGTCATAAAGTAAAGTCAAGTACAGTAAAGCAGATGTGTTGCACTCTGAAGGAAATGCTACAATAAACTCTGGCAGTGTCACCCCAGTTTATGAACAAATAGCAGCAAGCCGTAACGTGGACATGAGGGGGTGAGTGTAGAGACAATTGGTATAGAGTATTGAACCGATTTCTTTCGATTCTTAGTCTTAATCTTACCCCATAATTAACTGTTCCATGTGTATAAACAAACCACAGCAAATGTTATGATTTCTAGCATAGTTACCGGTTTAAACTTATTGGGGAAACAGTTTTATTACGGAATTTAAATTGTAAGAAAGTTCAATTTTTCCGGGGTAACAGACATAATTTATATTTCACTGTCCTCTGGGTGCAAACAGGTAAGTTAACATGAATTTTGAGGCTAACATAAAATAGGAAGCCGGACTTACAACATTTCAAAGAGTAATAGAATTAGATGACCATTGATATTTTAACATGAGCTATATAAGTTAATGGGGTATTTTCTTAAACTTCCATAGAATAGTGAGGTGATGATGTAATAACTATAGGCTGACAAAACAGAGAAACACTTCAAATATTGTAACTTTATTGACTCATACAAACTACATACTTGAATCGCAGATATACAAATCCATACTAGTTGTTACCTTTTATAAAGGAAGTTAATGTATTTATAAGGCACACTGGTATCTTCTAGTAAGAAATGTTTTATATCTAAAATATTGTTTATTTTAGTTAGCTACACTGACGGCAGCTGAGACTACAGGACCAGTAAGGTAGGAAGGAGACTGATAGCGTAATATGGTTAGTTACCTTTTGGAAATTACTGTACCTGTACTTTTACCTGTAATTCTAACACTGCTCTTCTGTACCGGTACTTGAACCACTATCTCTACCTGTACTTGCATCTAAGCGTCTACATGTATCTACACCTCTATCTACAAGTATTGGCACCTGTAGGCTACGTTTACTCAACACCTACTTTGCCATACTTGAATTATGATATGAAATGTATTACCAAAGTCTGACTCAACATATTTCGACACACTAGACCTTGGCAAGGACTACAGATGTTAAAAAGAGTTGATGAGAATGTATTATATATATGCAAAATACCTCTATTATGTCAAGACGACTCATTATGAACTACTACAGCAGAGATAACTGTCAGCAAGTCTATTAAGCTCTTATAATACTCCTACTATGAAGCTTTTGCTATGTACAGAAGCTCTACTGAAAGACTTTCTCTTGTATCTGAAGTATCTGTCTTTATTCTGAGATCAACTGTGAATATACAATGTAAACAAGTTTTGTACATCATTAGTCTACACGTACCACGATATCGTCAAAGTGTGGCTCCTTCCTTCTGATTCCTTACATCACAAATGTCCATCATCATCATCCCTGGAACATTTATTTTATTGTCACTAATATCGAAAACAAACTCTATATTAATTTAAAAAAAACATCAAACCCCCCCAGGATTATGTAGAAGAATGGCTTAATGGATTTCACGTTAGGATGATTCTCTTGGCTGTAGTCTCCTCTTGTGTACTGTGAAGACGGGGTAACTAGGACCAACTCCGCTCTTGACACTGCCATAGTTTGTCACCCTCACTTGTACGAGCTTACAAACACACCAAAATAACCTGTCTATCTTTTTCAATACAATGTCTTTCAATAAGTGACCTAGGGACGAAACAATATCACACACAACGCAATAAATCCCGGACCCGACGCATTCATTAAAAGGATGAGATAAACTATCATCCTAATACTTAGTGTAGATAATATCAGAGTTTATCACTACGTATAATATTTGTCTCAGCTGAAGACATAATACTCATGGCAATTTATACACTGGAGTTAAGATATGAAGACTGAATGGAAGTAATAAAGTAAATATTTACAGTGCAACATTTGTCATTTTCTGTGTTATTAAACAAACATTACTACAGACAGGAAAACACACAACAATCATTTTTACACCTGCAATCATTTGAGACAACTTTGGGGCCACCTGAAGATTATTCCTGAGACACCCTAACGCTGCCTGGAGGGGTTATGTTAAGTTAGGTTGGATTTAGATTATCTTATGTTAGGTTTAAGTTAAGTTAGGTTAAATTTAGGTTATGTTACGTTAAATTTAGTTGTGGTCAAGTATGATTAGATTTAGGTTACGTATGGTAAGAATAGATTTTGGTTAAGATAGGTAAGATTAGGCTAGAAATGATTATTGTTAAATTAGGTTAGGGTAATTAATCTCAAAATGGAATAAGGTGTAGGGGCTAATCTTCAGGTAATCCCAACTTTATACTGCAATGAAATATAGAATTTCACATTTAAGTAATTCACCTGAGGAGTGTGTTTCAATCATCCTTCACCTTCCTGGGAACAGACTCATATCATTCGTTACTATCTTGTTCAAGCATTGAGTATTCACACACGTCTACATAACAGTAACAGTAATGTAGATTTGATTCATTGTGTAGCCTAGTTGATTTGTGCACACGAAAGCTCTGATTATGAAGATTGACAGAGTATTAAATAAGTGAAATTTACGTAATTTCTAGGTAATTAAATATGTACTGCCAATACTGTATTCATAAATAAATAATAAGTTGTTTTAGTGTATCTTGCGCTATTAAGGCCTGTTAATGGAATATATGGCGCATAATAATATTCAAATGAGTATAGTTGTATATGACAATACTTAAGAATGGAATGTTCCTACACAGTAAACAAAATTTAATATTCAAATGTTTATAAGAAATGTTCACGCCGCTCAACAGTCATGGTATTAACAATTATGTTTTAATAAATATCAATGTACAAACACAAAGTAGCATCTGTATTAGTACGTTCATGAACTTGTTTTGTATTAATATAATTTGATCTAACCTCGCCAACTAATAACAGTGACTATATAATAATTTGATTGCTTGTTTGACTAGTCTGAAGGAATAATTTGCATACAGTATTTTTTGCGCTTGAGCAGTTGGTCTTGTAATGTTTAGTTCCAAAGTTTAGTAACACAAACCCATATTACATTCTTTATCATTTGCAAATACTGTATGCAAAATGATCATATATTTTTTTTTATTACGATCTCGCTCTTGTTTAATCATCTTTGTTTCGTGATTTTTTTCTAAAAATAGATTAAAAATATCACAGGGAAAAACTAACCTGTTAACAATTTAAATATATTTGTACATTTACACCATTACGTGACGCCACTTTTCAGGGAACAACTTTTTTTTATTGACGGAAATGATTCTTACGGAGCGTAGAACTAAGGTTTTAAGAGGAAACGAGGGGCAGTATTTCTGTGATGAACAATTATTAAAACGTGGAGGTTAGGAAGATGCACAAAGGAGTTGAGATGATGAGAAGCACACTAGAGGCCTTTCATTACGACAAGAGGAAGAAACACAATGTGAATTTCAAGTGCCTGAGCTCTCCATTTATCTGATAATTCTTTTGTTCTTCCCCACTACTTTATTATGAATTTATTTTTGATATTTCAGAATTTAACATAATGCTTTCTTAGCAGTTAACGTTGTAAGTCTTACATTTAACGGTTTCTCTTTTCGTTGTTTCATTTCGTCTGCTGTTATTACGACTTGTTACCGTTGTGCACATCCCATAATCTTCACAGTTTTGTAATCCTTCAAATCCTTACGTAACACATGTTGACTTTGGAGGGAGGGAGGGAGGGTATAGTGCCACTTCATGTTGAGGGCCCTCCATCCTCCACGGCGCTTGGTCAGTTCCGCTTTTCACGTTGCCAGGAATGTAAACTGGGGAGAGGAGAGGAGAGGGGAGAGGCAATACTTTCAAAACTCAAACGGTAGGCTGTTCTTAGTATGCCTAAAAGTGGGATGAGAGTTTCCCGGTATGTTACAATAGGTTATAGGTTAAGTTAGATTACTTGGTTTAGTTACTTTAACGATAAGAAAAAAGTTGACCAAATCACACTGGAACTCTAAAACACCATAAACTTGAATCCGCGTCCGTGGCCTGGAAGTGTGGCGTCACTGTAAGAATGTGTGTACTAAATGTATTAATATCAGTAATTAAAGTAGCTCTCACACAATCACATTAAGTCCCTTTATCTTACATTTTCTTGGTTTAAAATTATTTCTCCCGTTTAATATCGCCAATGACAAGCCTCTCCAGCCAGTCTAGTGTTTGTGTTTAATGCATTACCTGCCGTCTGTTGCTTTAAGAACACTTGTACACTCATGCATTCATACAGTTTGAGTAAATAACGACCTAAGTCAACATTAAATGGATCAACACACACCCAAACTTTTTACTATAAAATTATCATGTCAAAATACACATGTTTAATGAAGTACAAAACATTAACATTTTCTTCTGTAGTATTAACTTATAAACGTGGTTAAATTCATATCATTACTTCAAATGTTTCATAGTAAATATAAAAGTTTAAGTAGTATAAAACCTAACCTTCACTGGAGTCATATATTTAACAGTTGTGTTTTAATGACACTTTTGAATAGTTTCAATATCCATCAATAAATACACTGGGTTTTCTTCATAATTTCATTCCTTCTAATAATATCAGTTTTTTATGTATGTTGCTGACTAAAACGAGTTGCGCGTTTATAGTTTTAAGTGAATATAGTTATAAATAGTCTCCCATCTTCCCTCGCAAGAGAAAGCAGATATTAATAACAGTAACAAAAGTGAGGATAGATGAAAGAATGAAGAAAATAATGTTACACTACTACTACTGTTAATAATAATAATAATATAATAATAATGGCTTCTATTGATATGATGGGTCCCTTCTCACCCGCAGCCTATAGTCTTAATGTATACTCAATGAATATACCTCACAGTTGCCTGAGACACCTTGTTTACAAAGTAGTAGTTATATATATATATGTATTTCTATGCTTTAACTACTAATATCTTTAAGCACGTATTCTAAGTAAGTCGAAAAACTAAACAATTATTGGGAATATGGAGATAATTGATAACAGAGCTACGACAGCTGCCTCGCACGACCCACACACACACACACACCCGCCACCCACGCAAAACTCTGTAGAGCAGAGGTCGGGGAACAGGGGTAAATTACCCTAAATGGGGTAATTCTAAAAATTTTGGGGATAATGCATGCGGTATGAGACACTTCCATCAGAGCCTCAGTTTACTCGAGGAGCAAATTGGCTTGTTCTTGTTTACTGTACTAGTGTACTTTGAAGTCTGGGGGTAATTTCATTTTACTCAAAAAAATTCCCCGACCCTTGGCTGTAGACTGTAGAGTGTAGACAAATGCCAATACTCTCAACTGACAACAATAATCTGTTCTGTTGTTACTTAAACCATTCTCTTGGTAGCATTGCATTATGGCGACATTTTAAAGTATAAATCACAGATACACAGTATACTTTGGCTGCCACTATTCGCTATACTATAATGTTATCGCAAATCAATACAAATGGTGCAGTGTTTGAACCTGGTGGTCTGTGAGAATGTGTGTGTGTATGTTATAGATCTATGTCTGGGTGTGAAATATTGCTTGCAAATAACTGGTCATTGAACAAGAAATGAAAGAAGGCGACCAGTGTTGTTTGAGGTTGAAAATGTCTGCATCAAACTTGTGTTAGTGCTGAGTGGAAATTGTTCTTCATTTTACGTTCCTTGTTTGGATATTTTCCATAGATGAGGTCCTCTACATTAATTTGAGTAAAGTCAGGTTAATTGGGTAAGGTTTATTCACGTAATTTTGGTTAGATTAGGTTGTTATTGATGATGAACATTGCAGTGAGTTCATGCATTGTTCCGTGTGTGTGTGTGTGTGTGTGCGTCATAACTTATCACCACCAACGCGTGTGTGTGTGTGTCTCTTCAGCGTCCCACTGCAGCTGTGTTGACACTCCCTTCCTCACTGTCAAATACTGCCTCTTGTCGCTCTTGTGTGGTTTTGTTGTACGCGTTTTGTTACCACTGAATTATTGAACCATGTACAGTTGCTCGTTAACTTCATTTGACACTGTTGACATTATCTGACATCACCTATAAGGATCAGGTATATTTAAGGAAGTATTTTTTACGCTGATTTACTCAAATATCTTTGTTTTATATTGTTTTATTCGTCTTTGTTTTCTGTAAGCCAATTACACGTGACCAACATCAGATGCCAGATACTGCAATGTGTACTGAGAAATATGACACCAAGTGCACAACTGTATTTTGTCGTTATCTTAATTAATTGGTCCCATTATTTTTACTTTGATATTAGTATGATAAGTTTGTTTTTTAAACCACATACTTTGAATCATTTTATCTTCCTTTACTATGAACCCTCCAGTATGACAACCTGCTGGTCTGCCAAACCTCCCTCCTCTCTCCTGTTTCTGGTATACTGAATTATATTTAAAAGTGCAAACCTGAAAAAAAAATTTGACTAGGCCTTAACATATCGCCACTCTCCTGATCATTTTCAACTTGAGTTTTTGGTATAATCACTTTTAACGTAAACTTTTCCAAAACTTTTCAGTATTTTAAAATTTTTGTCGCGTTCAAAAATACTATACAACACCTAGAGGTCAAGTTACTATAGGCTAGAGTTTTGCCGTACTGTCAATAAACTTCTGAGTTTTATTTTTGCATAGTAGGTTAAGTGTGCCAGCCACTTTGATGCGTTGTCACACTTCATTCTGGCTTTCCACTTCGCTTGCGCTGCGTCTGGCGGCCGTTGACGACTCTGTGGAAGCAAGTTGATAGTTGCTTGCGTGTTTTCTCCACCAGGTTGTCGCTATTAAAATTGTACCACAAACGGAACCGCTAACCCTCCCCCCCCCCTTTTTTTTTGCAGCAATGAACCAATGAAACCAAAACAAATCTATTCAAACTAACAAACTAATTGTACATAACCGTAGGTGGCTTGTTATGTTAAAGTTAGCTTCAAGTTGACAGTTTTTTTTTTTAATTTTTGTAAGATGAATAAGGAAATGGTTTAAGCAATCATGTTCGTGGTATTTATCCAACACTGCCGTCTTGAAGTTCCTCCGTTGCCTTGTTGGGGTGACTCCACACAGCAGAGGTTACATGGCCACACACACTCGACACAGCAGACAGCAGAGGTCACAGTGGCAGCACGAACAGTCGCACAGCATACAGCAGAAAATGGAGAAGTTGTCACACATTCTGTCGCAGCAGTTCTGTAAGAGAGAAAGAGTAAGTGATGAATGTTCTGTGTGGCCCCTCCAGCCTGACTCCTAGATACACAAAGATTCACATGAATATATGCCTCGTCCCTGGAGATGTAAGCTATAAAAACAAACATAATGTCCAACAATTGCATATTATAATTTACACTGTGGCATAACCTAAAGAAGTATAGCAGTGGAAAGCATGTATTTAATTTTCAACTTCCCACATTATTTGATGTTGAGTCAATATTATTTTTATGAATACGTATTAACACATTTTCCCACAGTGTTTTGTAAATAGAAAGACGTATGTAGTGTTTGTGTAGTAACTGTAGTGCATATTTGTGTAGCGTTTTGTGTAGTGAGTTTATGTTGTGTTGATGTTAGTGTTTCCATGAGTCTCCTTGAGTTGAGACACTTATTAGCCCGAGGAACTTACCTGTGTGTGTGTGTGTGAACATAGTATTCAGCTTCTGTACTGTTGGAAATTTCAGTATTGACCTCTGCTTCTCCGAGGGAGAGTGTGGGGTGGGGGGTGGATGGAGGAGGGAGGGAAGAGGGGAAGTAGAGGAGCCCCCCTCACCAGTCACCACCACCGCACACCCGACCAAACACTACTACAAGAGCACCCATCACCACCACCACGCACACTACTACCACACCACCACCACGCCACCACCACACTACCACCACTACCACACCACCACCACCACTACCACCACACTAACCACACCACACCACCACACTACCACAACACCTCCTCCTGTGTATACCTGTGTTGTATGTTGCTAACTTGTGTTGGATTGTTCTGAGCTGTGCTGTGTTTGGCTGTGTTGTGTTGTGTTGTCACTTGTGTTGGATTGTTCTGAGCTGTGTTGTGTTGGGCTGTGTTGTGTTGGGCTGTGTTGTGTTGGGCTGTGTTGTGTTGTGTTGTCACTTGTGTTGGATTGTTCTGAGCTGTGTTGTGTTGGGCTGTGTTGTGTTGTCTCTGGTGTTCCTCTCATGATCGGTATTTACCAAAGATTTTGTGATATTTGTGTTGGATATTCTTCATTGTAGTACAAAGTTTCCTTCGTTGGCTTGGTTATGTCCACTGTTTTGTTTTTATAGATAGATAGACAGATTAGTGGATAGATTAGTACAGTATATTGATTCCTAAATCTATAAAAAATAGAGAACGTAATTATATCCCAGAATCCCAGGTTCATAAACAAAACCCACTAAGGATCCTACGAACCTTTTAAAAATTCGAAATAAAATATTGAAAAAAAATAGTCTTATCAGTCATGGAAAAATAGTCTCTAAAATACACTGGAAAGAAAATGTACAGGAAAAATACAAACCCCTTGATGTTTCGTCTCTGAGCAAGTAATCGTAAATCATAAATCTCCTAAAAATGTGAATATGTGGATTTTTAACCCCCATTATCCCTTTATAAATTCCTAAATACAAAACAGAAGAAATAAAAAAATAGGATTAAAAATAAAATTAGTCATATTTTCCTTCCTGTGAATAAATATTGTGGTGAAAAGAACAAATAACACTATATTTCCCGTGAAAGATAAAAAAAATAAACAGGATAATTATATTGTAAGAAAAAACTGATAGAAAATTGCTAGATAGTGAGGGAGGGAGAGCGAGGAGGAGGGGCAGGGGGGGGGGGATTAAGCCGTACCGTACAGTATCAAGGATGCATCGTAAGATAAAACCTCTACCACCAACCTCATTATCCCTTGGCTCTATTTTTGTCTACAACGAGGATCTGCCGTCACGCGTCTCCCTGTGTACGCGTGTGTGTGTGTATGTGCGTGTGGGGGGGGGAGGCTCGGTAACAAGTTGCACATCATTTCAAAAATAATATAATGTAGATGGCGTAAGATTATAGTTCGTTTTTCTCAGCTGGGAAAAAAAACGCAGTACAGTCTACATGATTTTGTATTTGTTCTTCACCTGTTTAAATATTTTCCTAACTCTTAAACGAGGTTCTTAACCGTATAAAAACCTTCACGTGAAATACTTTTAAATTAACGTAGACAACATTTTCTTACATGCATCGTTATTCCTGATTATAGAGAATTCCCTTGGCTTGACGGTCCATTTGTGGCAGTGTGGATAAGAGTTTTAAGTACACAGGTATAGGTAGCATGGCCGTCTCTTCACTGTTCGCTTTTACTTCCGCAACTGTACTGTACCCATTCACAGCTGGGTGGACTGAGGGTGCCCCGAGCGAGAACCAGCGACCCTTAGAACAGCTGGTGAAGCACTGTCCTCGGTCACACAACCGCCGCTCCTGAAATATTTGGTCACGGAGCCCAACTTGTCACCATTGTGTGCCTTATGGTGACTTAATTTGAGCCCTAACCTAACCTAACCCACTCATTAGGATTCGGGGCTATTTTGGAGGGGCCTGAATCGTAATAGGCTGCCGCTTCAGTCGTAATGGATAGCCTGTGGTGGAGTAATACAGTTACTGGGGTCCATTTAAAACCAGCAACTCTACCTTATTGCTCCATGTAAAGCTCCCCTCTCCTCTCCTCATCTCTCGTCCCTCTCATATTACCACTCACAACATTTTTCCCTCTCACTCCACCCTCGTCCCAAACCAGATTTGTTAATTAACCTGGACGCCATATAAACGCCAGGTGGTAAAATTGTTGATTCTCAGTCTACACTAACTGCAACCACTACTGATGGCTCAAATCCCAACCCACAATGCGTAAAGACTTAAAAAAAAACCCCAATCTTTATAATGTTTAATAGTCAAGCAGTGGATAATATTTTGTTGTATTAAAATATGAAATAATTATTGTTCTTGCTAGAGATTTCCTAATATTTATCTCTATATCTACGTGTATTATTTTCTTTATAGACACAAATATTATAAGTTACAGCAAGATGTGTGTTCATGTTGCATAGAACTTAATGTACCGGCAGTATTAGATTTTTTCCTTGGTACCGGCAGCGTTGTATGTGTTGCTCTGGATAAGAACAATGTAATATGCATGATACTGAGGTTCATATAGTTTTATCTTAAATCTTTATGTCTTTCATATTATGTCTTTAGGAAGATGGTTATCATACATCGTGGTGACGTCATTGCATTGTTAATATTGTTTTGTAAATTCTATTCTCACTCGAATTTACATAACAGCATCGGTCCATATCAGATCTTGTTTTTCGTTGCATCATTGTGATCTTACCGGATTGGCTTTTTTTTCTATAATTGGTATTCAGATTTATTATCCAGGGTTCATCATTTTGGTTATTTTAATTTCCATATTTTGTTCAACACTAACCAGGCTGGCCGGTAACGTGACACCCCCCCCTCCCCACCACCACCACAGCGTAACGTGATAACCTAATCTAGCGACTCCTGACAGTTCCTCCCCGTCACATGACACACCTGGACAGCTTCACCCTTGGTTAATATATCCAAAAACTATATTGTGTTAAAAAAAAAAATACTGAATTCGTATACCTTGATAATTTGTTTTCTACTCTTGGATGACGAGATAACGAATCCAGTGAAAGCAGAGAATTTTTGTGTAGTGTTGAAAGTTTTATTATTATTATTATTATTATTAAACGGTGTACGCTATTAGGGTCTCTAACGTAAACAGATAAACAATGTCACACTATTAACGGAAGTTGATTACCGTTTGCAGGTAAAATCCGTAATGAAAACATCATAATTAACGACTGAAGAAATCAAGTCCCTACTTTTTCTAATTGTAACAGAAATAGTTTTTATAGCGTAATAGACAGAGACAGTTGAAAATTTAAAAATCAACAACAATAATTTAGGAACTGTAACATCAAAATTATATATATATTTTTTTTTTCTAAGCGTCACTGTGATATGGCATAAGACATTTAGTATCAGGGAGTGGAAAAATATTCATTGACGGGGAGATGAAGTAAGAATATTACAGCGGATAAATTCGAGAGAGGAGGCAGGAACAAGAGAAGAAAACACAGAAACAAATTAAAAAAATAAACTAAAAATAAGTCTAAAAAACACAAAGAATAAAACGCTATACATTATTCATAACTTTTGAGTTTTTCGTCATTGTGTTCTGCCATCCGTCCAGGTCAAATGGCCCAAAAAAAAATCGCCTTTGACGTCTTTCCACTTCAAAATATTTAGTCCAGATTTTAAGAGAAGTTTAGGTAACAGCTGGAAGACGTGTGTGTAATATAAATTATCCTTTGATTACCATTACACGACCGCCAGTTAGTAGTCATGATTATGTCGGCTGGGTCTGTTTACAAATTTTTTTCAGCTGACCTCCGTTTATTGGTTGGTGGTGACGTCATAGCCGCCATTGTTCATGAGTTTTTGCAGGCTTCTCCTTTGATTGGTTGATAGTGAGTGACGTCATTTTTACATGGCATCCCCCAGTGGAGTATTGACCATTTAATGAGTCACTCGGTACAAAGAATCTATGCTTTTAAAAATATAATTCTAAAAGTACTCGTTCTGTCTTTAATATATTGCTGTCGTACTCGTCTTTAATTTACTGTTGTGGTTTAAAAATGACAACTGAATACTATAACAGTCCATTCCCACTACCACCACCCTCCTACCCCTACCACCCACACCAATACCACCACCATCATTCTCAAGACACAATCTATATATCACATCCAAATCATCGTATCAAATGCTAACACCATGAGTCACACAAAGCAGTGGCCGACACACACACACACACCAGTCTAAACTTCTATCATCACCTTTACTAAATACCAGTTAATTATACTCTCTTATACTCTATTATTTAATAATTCCATGTGTAATCAACGTAACTAATACTTTATCATGAAAAAATGCAAATACTGTATGTCAAACCTGATTGCTACATATTATTATTTTAGTATTATTATTATTATTATTATTATTATTATTATTATTATTATTATTATTATTATTTAAACCCGATTTTACTCTTGGAAATTTATGTGACTTTTTAATTGGTAAGTATTCGACCTAAGCCTGAATCTTGATG